ATGTTGCCGAGATGGCCGTTCGGGTTTTTAAAAAAACTTTATTTTTACTTTGACAAGACACTACAATATACTTGATATATTTTATAATGGATAAATGTACAATACGACGAACAAACGAGTAATCTTTGGTAATGTGCTGGAAAGCATCAAAAACCTCTATTTATCATCTCGGCTTGGATGCTTTCCTCAGCATTTTCTTCTTCCACGTGCATCCTTTTCTGCATCATAACTTGTATGTGGACGACGGCCATGCTCCTTTTAAGGATAATCATAATAAAGTTGCAGTTATTGTCATACGATGACAAATTCCTTCTATTTATACTTATATCCACCAATCTCAATGACACAGACACGGCAACATTATTTTGTCAATGCGGTCCCTCGTTTTATTGACATCCGTCATCGACGTTAAAATTATAATCCTAGCCCACAAAAAAAACTAAGTTTTCGAGTAAATACACTGAAGAGCCCATTGAGTATTTTTTAAGAGATTATATTGTTGCAAGTTTACAACATCCAATTATAAAGAAATAATTTCATGTGTAGTTTAAGTATTACAAACAGATATTTTGATGGCAGCGTTAGTTAAACGACAGATTGCTCAAATGTATGGAGCCGTGTTCCTTCCAAAACCGTTCGGAAGAGCTCAATAAGAATTAAGTGAATACTGGTTAACCCCCTAAATATCTTATGAGTTACAAATAGAACAATGTGTTACTTAGTAACTCATTTGTTTCATTTATTGAGAGAATTATAACTGTTTATTTTATAACAGCTAGTGTTAAGTGACCATATATGGATCGTGCTTGAGTTTTGGACCGTCCGCGACGCCATCGCGAGTATTAGACACGTCTGAAGATGCATCTGTTGCCGTCAAGGCTATTTCCATGGAAGTTTACGACTTGACATGCAACACGGTGGAATGTTTCTCGACTCGTCGATAGGGACATAAATATCCGACCAGATGGCGAAATGATTCAGATAGAATAATAGTCCAGTCGACATGGTTATAGACTTGTTATAGATTAGTTGCAAGTGTTATAAATTAGTCTGGCAGTAATAAATTAGACTTTGAACAGTAAAACGGTGTTTTCGTTACAATTTGTTAGCGTGACCTTCCATAGTACAAACACTTTAATCAGTAACACAACATACAGGGTGGCGCTTCGAAAACGAAACAGACGCATTTACTGGCAGCTGGCAGCTCAGTTTTTTTTTGGAAAAACGCTCAGACCCGTCGACTTTGTTTTCGAGGGGGACACAAGTTTGGCAAAGATCACGATAACACATGCAGCCCCCTGAGCGGGGGTGACACCAACCCTGAAATCTTAAATAGAAAGGGGGGTCGAGTGATACCTTATTTTAAAGGTCTTTCAATTCCCTTTATAACGATATAAAATTAATAAACTTCAGTTCAGTAGTTTTGAAGATTTATTGAAATTTGACTAAAAGAATTTACTTAATAAGTAAATATTATTAAAATAAAAGTTATTTCTTGAAGAAAGATAAGGAATCTCGTACTTATTTTAAATAGGAATTTAGTACATAGTTTGCGATTGATTTGACCAAACTTTGTTGCTAAAATAACTTGTAACGCTTTATTACATGAATTAACCATGGTATATTCCACAGCAGAAAGAGTTGAAATTATTGAAATATTTTTCGGACATAATCAGTGCGCTAATAGAACAGCAGAAATATTGAATGAGCGACATGAGAACAGTAACGTGCATCGACAATATGTTCTGGAACTTGTAGCTAAATTTCTGGAAACAGGGTCAGTTGCCAATAAAAAACGCAACATTGAAAATGCCAGAGGAACGAAGCAATAGAAGTGGGGGTTTTAGGGCAAGATTATGTAGATCCTACGTTAAGTACTCGCAAATTGGAGACTGTGTGTGGTGTTAGTCGACGTACTGTCCAACGGATTCTAAATGCCTATAGTTTTCATCCGTATAAAATTCACCTGGTACAAGAACTTAATGAAGATGATTTTGATCGGCGATTACAGTTTTGTGAAGATATGAGTGAACGAAATATAATTATTATTTCTGACGAATGTTCCTTTTTCTTAAATGGCGTAGTAAATCAACTGCCGATATTGGTCCGATCCTAATCCCAGAATTTATCATGAGGTTCTTACACAGCAGCCACAAAAATTAAATGTTTGGGCTGGTATTTTTGGCGATCATTTAGTTGGTCCTTTTTTCTTACCTGGAAATTTGACCGGTGAAATGTATTTGGAATTACTGGAAGACGCCATAGATCCTGCATTAACAGCCATAATTGAAAATCAGAATGATCGGCGGTACATTGCGAATAGGTTGATGTTCCAACAGGATGGTGCCCCACCACATTACGCATTACGTGTTCGACAATATTTAGATCAGACGTTTCCAGATCGATGGATTGGTAGAAGAGGTGCCATTGTATGGCCCCCAAGATCGCTAGATTTATCACCTTTGGATTTCTTTATGTGGGGTCAGTTAAAAAGCAAAATCTATGCTACTCAGCCAACATCATTAGAAGACCTGCGACAAAGAATTGTGAATGAGTGCCTTCAAATTACTCCTCAAATATTGCAAAATGTGCGGCAACGTTTTGAGCAAAATCTTTATTATTGCATGGAGAGTCATGGTGGCCATTTTCAACATTTACTTGCCTAACGGGTCAGTTCATTCTTCATTTTTAAATTACTTTGTTGCCAAATGTATTGATCTCCACTAATGATGATCTATTAGTTTTATTTAAGCTTTAAATCAATAAATCTTCAAAACTACTGAACTGATGTACATTAATTTTATATCATTATATAGGGAATTGAAATACCTGTAAAATAAGGTATCACTCGACCCCCCTTTCCATTTAAGATTTTGGGGGTGGTGTCACCCCCGCTTAGGGGGCTGCACGTGCTAACGTGATTTTTTGCCAAACTTGTGTCCCCCTCGAAAACAAAATCGACGGGTATGAGCGTTTTTCAAAAAAAAACTGAGCTGCCAGCAAATGCGTCTGTTTAGTTTTCGATGCGCCACCCTGTATAGCCGTTTTCCTAATATATTATGGAATTACTCATTTTGTTAAAAGTTTTAACAGAATGAGGACTACTGCCTTGTTATAAACCACGAGTTGAATAAAACACTTGTTTGCTAACATATTTTATTTCATACCCTTTGTGGTCCACGTTTTGCAAAAAGTCTGTATTTTCATACTGTGAGATGATTAATTCGCGTATTAAAATGTTGGCGATTCGAATAGTCTGTTTTCATGTAGCTAGAATATATTTTTCCACATACGTTTTCTCATTCGTCACTATGCTCCATCTCACACTTGCTATAACGGGTGACACAAAAAATGGACTATGGATTGGTATGATGCGAATATAACACGTTCAATGTCAGTTGCGATATGTTAGTATTTATCATGAAACGTGGTTACGTAAAAATTCAGTGACACTGGCTGAACGTGTATCATTCGCAACGCCCCTCTGAGAGAGATTTTGTGTACAATTTTCTATGATTCTGCTACCACCTGCCTTTCAAAAAGTTTTGGGGCATTTACCCCGTTCAATTGCCCTTAAAACTTACAATGAAATATCTTCTATCTAGCCCCACGGTACCCCATGGGTGTTTAGGCCTTAGGCCGTCGTGGTGGTTGGAGCTTAAAAAAAAATAAATCTTGGAAACGCGTCTTTGCTCTCTGGGCTCACCGATGAGTGCCGTGCAGTCACTGCCGTGCTGCTGAGTTTGACTTGTGCATTCATCGTGCGGTGAGGCATGTGGGAGCGGTAACGTCACCAGATGATTTTTTTCTCTAGTGGGCGAAATACGAAATTTCATTTAACAAAAATTAATTCACGAGCGAAAAAAAGCAGAAAAAACGTGTTCAATGTACTATCAACAAAAATGTTTTATTTGAGAGACTATAATCTAATCATATAAGATGAAAAGACCCTGGCTTGCGAAATAATTGTAAAGTCTGGTTTTACTGCTGCAAGTTGTTCAAGGTGGTATTCAAAACATGGACGCATAAAATGGGTATACCAATTTTTGTAGGAAAACTTTTTATTCGACAACAAAAAATGAAAAATCGTGTTTTTTGGGACTCAATCGAAAGTGAAGATGAATGTTATTTTTATGCAAAAAGGATGGGTTACTTTTTTTCTTCTAAGCAAATTCAAACATTTCGTATTTGTGGCGCATTTGTTCAATTACTCACAAATATGAAATGTAAGAAGTTGTTTAGAAGAAAAAACGTAACCTTTGTTTTTCGCATAAAAATAACATTTATCTTCCGGAATAGCTTGTGATTCATGTCAGCAAGGTAAACACGTGTGTTTTGCTATTAAATGGTCTTTGAACTTACCCTGTATATTGCTCAATAATTAGTGGTGATGGCCGGAAAACAGGTATTCTGGGATAAACGATTAGAAATTCTCAAGAAACTACTTGACCAATATACTCCAATTATGTTGTTGTTATTTAGAAGTATGAATCCTACGGATATGTAGAATTTAAAGTAGTTGCGTGAAATTATCGTCGCATTACCAAGTGCCAAAACCTACATTTTGCGTCGTTTTTCGGCCATAATATTTTTGCTATTAGTCGGATCTTTTTACGCGTGGTCTCACCAAAAATCTTATAAGAAAAATTTTTTCGTTCCTGTCAATACTTCCGATTGAATCCCAAAAAACACGTTCTCATTATTTGCTGTCAAATAAAAAGCTTTCCTACAAAAATTGGTGTACCCATTTTGTGCCTCCATGTTTTAAATACACGATTTAATAACTTGCACCAATAAAACTAGACTTTACAATTATTTCTGGGAAATTTGCTAATATGATTACACAACTAAAGTTAGTTTTTGGCTTATTCTTTCCCTTTTAAGAAACTTCAATAATTGCAGACAGGCACATAAAGCGAAATTGTCCTAAAATTCGATCTGTAGGTACAAAAATCATCTCTTTGTGTCACCCGACAAGCTCTCATTTTCCCTCCACCTACCTGTGTATCTCTCCTCTGAACCAGGCCATCAACACTAGCTACCGCATCCAACGGTGCAACTCCCGCAACTCCATCCCCTACTCCCGCTGTTCCAGTCTCCAACACCCCTACGACTCTAGCGCCCCCTCGCGGGCAGTGCATGCAAAAGCATCGGACGGTCGTGGTCGCCAAGCCCAGGATCAGCAGTATCGCCCCTGCGCCAATGAACAGGTATCTGTAACAACACAAATGAACAGAATTAGCTGTGGACACAAACAACAAAGAAAAACACACACACATCCAAATAAAACAAGGCCGGATATTAACACTTAGCTCACGAGAGTGAATTCAAATCTACAGTTACTTTTGACCTGTTAACTTCAGTGCTAGGGCAATTTCTAGATACAAGGTAGCAGCGGTGGCCGCAGTAGTAGACTCTTCGGTCTCCTGATCAGTCGCCGTGCGCTGTGCGGGTTCGAGTCCCATTCCAGGAGAACATTTTGTCTTGGCTATGGATGTTGTGATTGTCCGTAGGTGGTAGACGGTCTCTGACTGTCGAACGTGGAGGTACCACCCGGCGGATCTCGTAGGCGGAGCCAGAATGTGTGCAAGTTGCATGCACACGTGTTCCCTCGCCAGAGTCCGTGTGGCGTTCCCCCTTTCCCCTGTATCCCCCTATAGCCCCACGGTACCCAATGGGTGTTTAGGCCTTAGGCCTTCGTGGTAGTTGGAGTATAAAAAAAAAACAGAAAAAGGTATTAGCATCGGACAGCCATGGGTAACACTCTCAAATTATATTTTTGGTAGATCTGAAATCTCAATGGAATATTCTTCATAAACCTCTGAGTTTGTACATACCTATGGTCAGCGTCTGCGGCATGAGGGGTTAGTTGGACAAGGCCGACGACCATGACGATTGCACCTAGCAGAAGGCAACCTACTATCACCTGGAGGGCTGACACCTGGAAAAGCACAGAATTTAGGCATGGTATATAATTTCTATGGGAAAATGTTTTTCGGGAAGCCACCTTATCCATATTTTAGTCCTCAACATAAGATCCAGCAGCAGGGGTATTACGTATCTTGAAAAGTGACATTATATCGTTTTTTACATTCAATAGAATTTTTGTGAAAATATGCGGGTTTTCCTATAAAACGTCAACTTGGAAGTAGCTGTTGTTCGCTTGATGTGCACTCGTTGTATAGCTGTACGTGTTGCCTAAACGTAATGACGCTCGAGCTATCATTATTTGGCTCTGATGTAATGCAACATCTGCTTCAGAGATGACATTTCTTGTCTCAATTGCACTTACTTGAGATGTAGGTATGCGAAACTAGAAATTAGTTGCGTATCCACTATTTTATTGATCCTGGAAATGGCGCGTGCAAATTTGCTAAGCTTCAAAAACAAGAGATAAAAAAGAAAATCTCTGGTTGGTGAAGTGTATTACAACTAACCTGTTAGAGAATAGGCTATAGGCAGGAATATTTATGAAAAGTAAAAAGGTTATTACATATTACATTATTTTTTATTTCCAGTCATTTAAGTTTCATAGAAATATATTTTGCGATGTCAAGTAGAAAAAACAAACCAGCGCTTGGATGTGAGCCATGGCGAAACTGTTTTGTGAGCGATGAGTCATTCCTAATTTTTCTGTGATGTGACTTAATTACACACAAAAAAATGGGAAAATCATAAATTACAACTGAACATATTCTTCTTCAGAAAGGCACCACATAAGTAACCCATCAGGGACAGCTAAAAGATATACTTCATTGGTAGGATATTCAGTAATAATTTCCTCACATAACACATAACTATCAATAATTTTATACACATGAAGATCAATACACACAATCACCACACAGTCATCCAGTAACGATCTTGCTACTCTGCTTCTCAACCAGTTTTGTTACTGTCACTTCTTCTCAGACTATCTCGGCATTCAGCAACCAACAAGTCATGTTGGCGAACTGGCTTGTAGAATGGTCGTTCAGTCATTTCTCCATTGGTGACGTTGTGGGTGATGCTCACAGCGAGGAAACACGGAATGGATTACTTGCACACTAACAGCTATCTAGTTAGCATTTCGTCGTCTTTTTTTTGGTATTATATACGTTTCTCACGTAATAATCATGCCCCACAAAAGATGGACCTAATTGACCTCTTTGCGGCTATTTAAAAATTCGAAAGTACTACTTCTGCTAATAGCCTTACTATGAGCTAGATGCAACATCGACTTGATGATCCAGAGACGGTAAAGATACGACATTTTTGTTTCTGCTTTATGGTGTATGGGTTTAAATTTTCCCGCACCCTGCTTTGAGCGGCATCTGGAGAAGCGTGTTATATACTTGAATGCCTTGAATGTTAGATACCAACTATTTTGTGATGTGTACTTGTGGTTGCATAAGACATTTCCAGAATTGTATATTTTGACTTGTGAGATTTGAGATATATCCCTTTTCTGTTTCCGGTTTTGACCATGCGTAAGAAATTAAAAGTGTTATTTCTTGCATCACAACACGAAACGCTATTTTTGATTAAGCATTGATGCGTAACAAATCACTGTTCACACTTCGTTGTCAGCCTTGAACCATACCAGCTCCGGATGGGACGAGATCGTTGGAAATTTTCTGAATGGAAACATGTACCAAACTTCCTATCGCTCGGCGATAAAGTTTGATGTCCGGATGTATTCCTACGGGACGGATACTCATAAAACCGATCACTAAGCTATCGGACATTTCCAGACACACGGTTCTGGAACAAATTCTCTGGATACATAGCCTTGTGGACGTAGGTACGGCCTAGGTTTATTTTTCAATTATATGCTTTATATACTGCATGCAGATTTCTTGTCAATGTAGACGTACATCAATTTGAGGTTTGAGGAATCTGTCGGTTCCTAGCATTCATGTTCACGAAGATGTTCGTCTCCAGACTCCACAGGGGGGATATATTGATGGGTATAATTCACGCAAGGTGAAGATGTTGAGAAGAAAGCTTTTCCAAACCGACTGGTTTGCAGTTGGGATGTTGGGATCGACCAAGTTAGCAGCCACGGTGGATAGTGATGGCAATTCCAAACTACGAAACTGAAGATGGTTGAAAATATTCCAAAAAAATTTACGTGTTTTCCGGTGTGGAAGAAAACTCATTTCTTATTCTTGGGGTAGAGAATATGCGTAGATTACGAATTTAGTATGGATTCCATACTGGGATCAACGGACAAGATAAAACACAATAATTTTTTACGCCAGATAATACTTTGCGGACCTTAGATATTTTCAATTTCATGGGAACATTTCTAATTTTTACGCGTATGTGTAGATTACGAATCACATCTTATATTCAATGCTGGGATCAAAGGGAGGGTTAGGACGCCTCATTTTCGGGTCAGAATAAGACCTTTTAATGGTTATACAAGGTATTCACAAAGTGTACAGTTTCGTGTTCATTTGCCAAGTGAGACGAAACCGGAAATTTTGTTTTCTAACTACAAAATTTTCAGAAAATCTAGGATATATCCAATCTGGAAAAATACTGATTTCAATAGCAAATCTGGTGCGTAAATTCCAAATCCGATCTTATTTGGGACTGACGGATTATTTTCTAACACAAGTTCGGTTCTTCGTAATTTTAGGACTTTTTTATAGTCAAATTGAAATTCAGCGTGCCAAATTATCTGGGTCTACCGAGTTTCTTCTACCTGTACTAATGGTGGACGAAAATGGGATTGCAAAACTTTAAAGAGCTTAAGCCATAGAGATTTCAAAAAAATTCTTGTATACGCAGTGTGTAAGAATACGCTTGCATTGAGCGCGTAGGTCGCAAATCGTATGTCCTACCTATCTCCTTAATTCGTGTGCACCCCATTTTAAAGCTTCTAGTGTGTTTTGAACACAGTTTACGCAATATTTTGTTGACATGAAGACTAGAGATAGGAATCTGAACTCATGGGGTGAGGGTGAAGCCAAAAATGTCGCCGATGAAGTGAGTTAGCACACACAAATAAATTTCAGGTTTTGCGTAGTGTATCTTTCTGGTGTGTACACTGTTGCTGTCATGATCACTGTAAATAACTCCAATTTTGGCAGTTCGGACGGGTTGCAAGCAGAAATATTGATTGAGATTATTAAACCACGAAGTAATCAACCTACAAAGCATGGCAGATCGTGAGTGCAATGCACATAAAGATTACGGCTGGTTATGTTGACATTCTTCAATGCTCAGATGCTCTACGCCACGTCCACTAGATTTCCGAGAGCTACACCAATCTTGGTCACCCTCCTATTGCTAGTCTTCATGTTTGGAGTAAAAAAATCAAAAATAAAAACGTTACCCAAATTACCCAAATTTTGACTTGAAATGTTTATCACCGGTTTAGCACCTTAATTTTTTTTCTAATCTTCAAATTTGGATATTTTGTTAAGATACAATAAAACAAGAAAATTTTCTGTATTTTACTCCTCTGTTTAATATCCCAATGTAATACTTTTGGATTCGAAAAATTCCCAATTTCAAGTACAGGTATCCTTCCAAAGCCCGTAATTTAGCAAATAAACGTACTACGAAAAAAGAAATCGTGTTTTCTCTTTCATACCTAATATATTTTTTAACTAGATATATAAACAGGCCCAATGTAAGCGAATTTTAAAACCTCACTTTTTCGGTGTCCGCTTTACGTACAATGCCCCCTATGCTCGACAGATGAGCCTTAACCTTTCTAGTCTTGGAAGAAGTACTTTGGTTGTTAGTTTCTATATTCAGCTACACTTACCTTTCCACATATATATAGTTCAGGCAATCGGTCTGTGCCATCGTCATTGACACCCCCTGGACTTGGGGTTGGACTTGGACTCGTAGGGGGTAACCAGTGGCCCCCTATGTACAACTGGCTGGGCCGTTTCGATCTTTTCTCTTGCCCTTTCCGACGTTCGTGGCGTACTGCCACTGCTGGCATCGCCCCTATCATCCTCCTGAAAAAAAATGGCATCAAGTAGGTTGACTCTCTTTGTCTCACTTCCCACGCAACTCTAACATCAGTTCATAAAGAAATATGTTCGGCCCAAGCTAGTCCCTTTGAGCCAGTAAACATGTATAACAAAAAAATTAAATGGGTCAAGTCAGCCAAACAGGGCCTGATACAATTAGTACGTACTCCATCCGCATCCATTCTGGCAACGCTGCTGGACCACACCTCTCAAACACGTCATAACGGGAATACCTTGATGTGATCAATATGTACTGAAGGCGTGTAAAATAGCCAACAAAATGAGATATAGCTTTTCCTACCCGCTACAACCTCAACCACCAGTTTTCAACGCCTACAAAAAATTTTCTGTAAATAATCAGGAACCTCTGATACGTCAAAAAACAAAGTCTGAGAGATTTTTATCTTTTTCGTGTTTTTTCTCCTAGCTCCGCTGCTATTGTACCGATTTTCAAAAACTATAAACCATTTTTGTTCTTGGCACAGTAGAAACCTTGTGTGGAAATTTGATTCAAATCCGGACAGTCCTTTCCAAGTTATAGACGGTACAAAGATTGGAAGACAGCAAGAGAGACAGACAGAAATGAAGACAAGACAAACATGATATCACATTTTTGATTTTTCTTTGCGATTACAATATTTCCTCGCCAGTGGGCGTGAGAAGTAAAAGACTATTCGTAGATACTACTAGACTTCAAATTTGGT